AGAGTGAGAGGAAATAGCATGAAAACCTGCGTTACCTTTTCAATGTACCTGCATCTGGCTACTGATTCAGTCTCTCAGCCGCTCCTTTGAAGTGGCAGGATTCTACAAGTGTCTCAACATTAAACAAATTACTGTTAACGGAAAGTACAGACGGTGTGTTTTAGAAAAAGCGTCCATGTGAGGACATGGCCTCTCGCTTTGACCTGGGGCTCATCGCAGGCACAGTGACATCCAGCCGCCCGCTTTCAGGAAAGCTGCACGGTCACCGTGGTAATGGGAAGATCAATGGCTCCCTCTCAGCCGTACTTCATTTGTCTCCCAGCTCTCGTGAATTAACATGCCGTTAAATGGCCACGCACCCATAGCAAAGGGTCGACACTGTATACAGCATGAACAAAATCCCAGTGTTTCAAGGGTAAGAGGACAGCAGGCCGTGATGTTCCAGTTGCCACTATTTTCCGGTACTTTCAGCTAAACGCCTCACACATCCGTACCTTAGTAGCTGAAGCTGCTGTTGGCTGTTCAGACCACAGACTGTCTACTCCTGCGAAACAGGATATTTTGAAATGTGGGGGGGATTTTTGTGGCCACCTGAATGGGGGTGAATGGAGGAGCCTCTTTGACTATAAGCAGTACACAGAGACGGCTGCGGGTGTAACGCTCAGAAAAGAAGGGAGCTTCTGTCGTCCTCAGACACGGACGCGGCGGCCGTCACGTGCTCCCGGAACAAGCCGCTCAGTGACACAGAAGGTCAAACGGCACGACCCTCACAAGGAGGAGTGGCCTCATCGTAGAGAAATCCGTGTGCATGCAGCCAGTCACTGGGGCAGATCACAGTGATCAGTCGAGGTAGTTTTTGTTCTGATCATATGCCCCACATTTATAGAACTTCACCTGTGGTCAAGTTCTATAATCGTTCTTATTTAAAAATGTTTCCCCCCATCATTCCTCTTTTATTCTTTACTCGGAGTGCAGCAGGCAGTGATTGGGGTGGGTAGGGCATCCCTGTGGGAGTCCCTGACACGCTGGCATTTTCGGCACTTGGTGGAGGAATCCTGCTTTTTCCCCCATTTTTAATCGTTACACTGGCCGCCCCAGGTTTCCTCAGCTTGTCTTTTCCTGGCTTTTCCCGCGTTGTGAGCTCAGCGCCGAGCGCCTTGCTGTATCTCTGTATCGCTGTTACGTATTATCTTCTGTTCAATGTCTCTGAAGGTGCTTCACGGTCTCTTCTGGACGAAGGATGTGCCTGGAATATCGTGAGCACTGGAACATTACAGGAAAGGGAAGTCCTTCCCGATTGTGGGCACAAAACGGGATCTAGGGATCCTCTGTTTCATTTTTGACATTTTTGACATTTGGTTCTGCGTGGAATTAATTTGAGTTTCTGTTTTTCAGTAAACTGCCACTGCAGGTGGTAATCAGTAGCTTAATGAAATTTCCCTAAAACTCGAGGCTCTGTTGCTCTTCTTCATAAAATTGGCCCAAATAAACCAAAACAGTCATTAGTAACGGCAGCCGCATCTTACTGGTTTGGTTTGTGACTCTTTTGGGTGCCTCTGACTTGTATTTTGTTCTTTTGTGGATTCTTTTCTTTGAATTACACTTTCTTGAGAGGAGATCCCTTGATCCCTTGAGCCAGAAACTCAGTGACGTAGCACCATCTAATGGTGTGTTATGGTATCACAGACTTTGTGAAATTCCTCTGACATAAGCTTGTCTTATTCCTACCTATGACGCCTGACTGTAATATCCAGAGCTACGCCTCATACATTAATGATGAGGAAGGTCATGCATTTCAGCGCTTGTGCTCCTGCCTTCAGTCTGCATGCCTGCATACGGAGCGTCACACTGAGCGTCAGGCTAACCTGGCCGTCGTGAGACGCCTGCACACGCTGTCACTCACGGCTGAAGTCGTACTGTGATGTCAGTCATCAGAATCACGCCTCTGGGTGCCCACAAGCCTCCATGTCCTCTGCATGTGTTTGGGGTATCGGGTGACCCCGAAATCACCCGAGTGCCCTGTGGTGCATAACCGTCTCACGGTGCGTCCCGCCGTACGGCCACCATACCGCCGTTTGATTATAATATTAATGCCTTCCTTCATTAAGCCGTGAGCCCTAAAGTGCTGGTCTGATGTCTTTGTTTATAAATTGCTAACTGAACATTGAAGTCCAGGATTTTTGTCTGTAATCCCACTGTTGTGTGAGTGTAACCTGCAGAATAGCTTCCACAAAGAACAGTAATTAGTGTGTTAATGGAGCATCGGGGTGGTAATATTTACTAGAGTGGCCTCAGCTCGCGCCTGAAGTGAGACCTGACAGAACGTGCACCTGCTTATGCTGCCATTCATTGGCTGAATCCAGGCGTCTGCAGTCGTGTTGTAAAACACAGGGGTACCCAGCAGATGGCGCTATAAACAACATAGCCCTCTATTGATTTGGATTTTATCAGGACTCTCATTACTATTCCTTGCTCCTGGTGCTGCTTCCGTCTCTCTGGCTGCCTGCAGACTCTTCAGGCACGGAAGATACTGCAGGGAAATTGTGCCATTTGACCGCAGGAATCTTAAAACCATAATAATAACAGTAATGAACCAGCCGTGATGGTGCCGCCTCTCTGTAACAGCAGCACAGTTTCAGTGCACATTCCACCAGGGCCTGTAAGCCGTATTTATATGAGTACATAACCCTGACAATAAATTAGAGTCTTATGAAGTTACATGGTTGGTTTTATATTTAAATTCAAAGTACATTAACTTTAGTCCTGACAGAAAGGATCTTGAAAGCATCCATCCATTTTCTGTAACTGCAGCTTACTCGTCCTCATAATGTCGGCGTTGGTAATTGTGAAAATACTGTTGAGGTCTGTTTAAGAATAGAACTTCGATATTGCAGATCATTTGACTAAATGATAGCGTTGTTTGTCCAGTAGAGGCCGCTATACCTCCATGGTATATGGATGTTGAATGATTCAGGAGTGGATAGATTATGCCTGTATTACTAGCAGGAGTGAAGTTAAGATGGTGCCTGTTGCTGCACGGAATAAACGTTTGTTCATGACGCCATCCGTGTGATCCTTGACTCACAAATCTATGCAACCCGACAAAATGTACAGATATGATGAGGCTAACCGTATTAGCTCGTCTATGGGATTTCTATGTTATGTTAGCATTTACGCTAATCGTTTATTTCTAAGTCAGTATGTGTGGTTTCTGATTGTATTTATCGTGTTGTTTCAGTTTCACAAGTATCACCAAACATTGATAAACATCTTAAGAACAACGAAGTTGTCTGTTTGGAATCTATTTAGCGATCTGCCAAATTAGTCAGCTCAATTATCTAGTGAGGGCAGAATGATCTGTAATTAAGTGCATTTTCAATACATAATTTGTCCATTATGCTGTAAAGTGTAAACGGTTGTTTTTAGATTTTACGTAGCAATATAAACAGTTTAATTAGAAAATGTTTGCCATTTTCTCTGATTAGGATTAAGATCTGGGCTCATGGAGGGCCATTTAAGAACAGTCCAATGTCTTTTTCTCAACCATTCTTGGGAGCTTTTAGCTGTATGTTTTGGGTCATTATCCTGTTGGAGGACCAATGACCTGCGATTGAGACAGAGCTTTGTGACACTGGGCAGTATGTTTCACTCCAGAATGCCTTGATAGTCTTGAGACTTAATTGTGCCCTGCAGAGACTGAAGGCTCCCTGTGCCAGACGCAGCAAATCAGCCCCAAACCATAACTGAGCCCCCTCCCTGTTTCACACTAGATATGGTGTTTTTCCTTGTAAAGCTTCATTTTTTCATCTGTAGACATAGAGCTGATGTGACTGGCCAAAAAGCTCCAGTTTTGTCTCATCTTTCCAAATGACATTCTCCCAAAAGTGTTGTGGTTTGTCAGTATGCATTTTAGCAAATTCCACTCTGGTGGAGTCCTACTGGATCTTCTTCCATTCTCACTACAGCGGTGACAGATGGTGCCATCAGACAATGATGGACCTTGACCTGGGAGTTCAGCTTGTGTCTCTTTAGAAGGTCTCCTTGGCTTTTTGTCTACCTTTCTCACTCTCCATCTGCCCAGTCTGGGGTCAGTTTTCCTCTTGTGGCTGCGTCCAGGGAGGTTGGCTACAGTCCCATGACCCGACATCTTCTGCTAGGAGATTGTCTTACAGCAGTGATCGCCAAAACGACGCCTCATGGGCCATTTGTGGTATTTTTTGACGCCACTAGATGGTGCTCTTGGTTTGCGTTTTAGCATATTTTGCTTTACTCGATGACATATGCGGCTTGTTAAAAACTCTTGCTGCCAATCTAACCATGGGCCGGGAACAGACACACACGCAGGCTCTATGGGCCGGGGACAGACACAAACCTTAGTTACCTTAGTCTTAATTGTATGACATGATTACATTGGCCCATTTTTTTTTTCTTATTTTCAAACTTCCAGACATCAAGCTGGGGCGAGTGTGTGGCTCAGCAGCCCGAGCCTTTGAGTCTGTGATCAGAAGGTCACTGGTTTGAGCCTCATTATTATTACTATGAAATAAAGCCATGTCCTTACATTGCACTGTATGGCCTTTGCAGGTAAACATGTTCCTATGTTTTGTATCTATGACGTGTCCCTTAAAACAGCAGTGTGCCATTAGAACTGACCAGGTGTGTCGTGTGATGTCTGTATGTATTTACATAGATAGATAAATACATACATACATACCCATCCAGTACTGTGCAACATGTGAATCACTTATGTCACCGTTTTTTCATAAAATATTTCTGATTAGGATGGCATGACCAATGTTATTTTCCCCAAGGTTAGATTCATTTTTATGTCTATTTTTGAGTTTTATTGCAAAATAGATTTTTTTGCTCAGATGATTATTTGCCTTCAAAGGAACATTTTTTCCTTTGTGCATAACCTCCTAAAATCATATTTGAGAATCTGAAATAAGAATAATATTAAACTCTCTCTGCCAATCTAACATGGACGGCTCTCCATCCAGCAGATGGTCAGGTGCTGCAGTTCGGAAAGCTGGTCAGCACATCCAACACTTATGAGGCCCACGACGCAGAGGAGGACAGGAAGCCTGTGCTGGTGCAGAGCGACCGGCCTCTGCTGTGGAGCATGGGAATTCACAGGAAGTAGGCTGCGGAGCATGGGAATTCACAGGAAGTAGGCTGCGGAGCGTGGGAATTCACAGAAAGTAGGCTGCGGAGCGTGGGAATTCACAGGAAGTAGCCTGCGGAGCGTGGGAATTCACAGGAAGTAGCCAGCGGAGCGTGGGAATTCACAGGAAGTAGACTGTAAAGCGGATGCAGGGAGCAGGAACGAGTTCAGTGCCATGTGCCTTCAGTCATAATTCACACATGCGTGTTTTACTAACATGACTATATATAAATGCAAATTTTATATTTAAAAATTGCAAAAGATATATTTAAAAAATTGTCCTCCATATAGCCAGTCATCCAGGCACCAAACCACCTCTGAAAGACAAAACCAAGAGGAGTTAACATTCAGGCCAAAGTGATTCAATGAGACAAGCACACTACATTAACTACAGCTGGTTCCTCCATAATTTAAATACACTTTTTCCCCACATGTAATTTTAACTGGATCAAAGATTCTGGTTATCACACTCATGCAGGAGATATCAGCAGTAATGCAGTGGATAAGCATCCAAGTCAGAAGGTGCACTGCACTGTTCACTGCATCACTGCAGCATGTGTGATTAAAGAAAAAAAGCAAATTCTCTGTTAAAACCATGCAAGGTTTTAAGGCCACAGCACCAAACCTGAAATGTAAAACTTCAACTCTACCAGTGAGAAAGTAAGAGTGAAAAGAATGTGTAACACTGCAGCCACACTGTTTAATAAAAAAATACATTTGTTAAACTAAACGTGTCCTTGTAATGTTACTTACACAATGATGATGTTGATAGGGATGTGGATGAGTTTGACGAAGAAGCAAATCTCATAACTGCAAAAACGATCTTTTTTAATTCTACAGGGGAAAAGGCAAATTAAGCTCAAAAGAGGGAATAAAAGCTTAGTACATGGAAACATGGAAGCAGTCTTTTTACAGTAGCCACTTTGTAATGAATTACAAAAAAACGCCCCTGTATTTTAGAAATGGATTTTAAAAATCCAATATGTACGAAACTGGATGATAAACTTTTTTTTACGTAACAAAGCAGAACATTATAAATTAAAATTACACGGTGTATTTTCCTATTGACGAACTTATAATAATCATAATAATAATCAATCCTTTATTGTCCCTCATGGGGAAATTCTTTTTACGCCTCCCTCAACTTGCTCTTTGTGGGGCATGCTGTCCGCGAACAGCACAACTAGACAAGCAGCTTTAATTTCATTGTCAGATCACGTTTTGATTTCGTCTGACACTCAAAAAGCAAGTCTCACCTTTTCAGTCTGGCTTTGTACAGCTTTTTACGAGACTAAGGCCCAATCCCAATTCTACCCCTTACCCCTACACTTACCCCTACCCCTCCGTTTGGCGCGTTCACGTGTAGGGGTAGGGGTGTCTCAATTCTCTTTTGATTGGAGGGGTAAGGGGAAGGGCTAGATAGCCCTCGAAACGAAGATTTTTCGGGACCTCACTTCAAACGAAGGGCTAAGAGAAAT